GGTAAAGTTAAATGCATAACATTATTCTATCCACTGACGAACGCATTACTCACTGAGTTCTACCCATCGATTTTTCTTGGGGGAATTTCAACCAGTCTGATTTTTTGAATGTGAGTATTGTCAATGGAGTACATTTGTTTTGGTTAATTATTTACTTTCAAAACGAAAGTCAACCAACAGTAAATTCAAAAGTATTCCCTCGAGTTGTCCTCTCACTATAAAATATGTTTACAGGGGGCTTAATTGGGCCTATCACTTAAACTCCGGATTAAGGCAACGTGTAGCTAATGCTGTTAGCAACATCAAGCCCTTTTCTTACTTTCAGAAAATCAGAGTCATTGGTTGAAAACCCGCCGAAAAAAATCGGTCAGTAGAAGTCAGTGGGTAACGCGTTCTTCAAGACAAAGCTGTATTTTTTTTTTATATTGGCATGTTGGACCATCAAAGGTGAAGTTAGTAAATCGGATCCGTAAAACTACCACGATTGAGCCTTCCTAATAAACGAACTTGATAAAAAGGTTAAGTAAAGAAGTCAACATAAGTATTCATTTGCCGCTAATAAAATTATTATATGATGTTATATCTTAGTGACAACTCTGAAAACCTTATCCTAATTTACTTTTTTCAGAACTGTCGAAACCCTTCAACACGGGAATGTCAGGCTTAGGTTGTATTCAAATCCTAACAGAAATCATGCTAATTTTACGAAATCGGCTTTTTCAATTCGTTTTGAAATACAGGATTTCTTAAACTTTTTAAACAAAGTTTTCAACAAAAATTGGTTTAGATGGTTCTTATTTAAATTTGTAAAAATGTCCTCCCAATCTAAGTTCTAAAGAATCTTAAGCTTCTGAAACTTCAAAATATAAATGAAATTAGAAAGCTCTAGGCTATTTTAAAACGTTAAAAAAATTGATGGTTTTACTTTTTTTAATGTTTTGACGCTGCAGAACTTGCAAGGATATTTTGATGAGAACTACAACGCAATCTTGAGGAGTGTTATGTCTTACTCATTAAAATGTTGGCCAAAAGAAATGAAAAACTTTCCCGAAGACACTATATACCTAAAACAAATGATTTAGTCACAAACAATTTATTCCACCTAAATACGGTTTCTGAACCACCATGGCTGCTTAATTCAGTTACAATCAAGCTGCTTCGATATCTTGTTATGAAAATGTGCTACTTCGGAAGTATCGAATGAGAAACTTTTCTGAGATGCTCCCCAAGATTGAATATGTTGCTTGACATAAAGAATACAGCTTTCCTCCGAAGAACGCGTTACCCGCTGAGTTTTACCCACCGCTTTTTCTCGGTGGGTTTTCAGTCAATTGCTATGATTTTCTACGAATGGCTAGTTCTCCATTAACACTACTCACATGCAAAAAAATCAGACCAGCTGGTTGAAAACCCGCCGAGAAAAAGCGGTGGTAGAACTCAGAGAGAATCGCGTGTTTTGAAGGATGGCTGTAGAACCATTTCTAGCTAAAGAAACCGAAATTTTAGGAGCAACTTATTGGAAGACCAAACATAAAAGTAATCCCGGACTTAGTAATTTTCTCAATTAACCGTGGGACCGTCCGTAAACAAAATAGACACAATCCTTTTCTTTCCACTTTATTTTGAAAAACAAGCATATGACTTGGGACACATCTATCCCATCCATCTACCATGTCAACGTCAATTCTACGGAAGTTCACTCCCTCTACGTTTTCCTGCCTAACAGGTTCCCGCGCTGGTCCTTGCGTGACATATACATCGGAAATACATCCCTTCAAACGGAACAACAAAGGCAACATGAGAACAGACACAAAAAAAAAACCTTGCAGCTTATGAATCTCCACTTTACTTCTCCAACAAGCTTGTCCATACTCTCGGAATGTCTATTGTTTGTTTAATAAATCATGAGTGGTACAGCTTCGAGGCAGTGGAACCCGGTACCTGCTCTGTCGGCACTCGCGCAAAAACCTGCGAAAGATATTCAGTTAGATCAGTCAGAGGAGGAAAATCAAGGAAGACGTCAGGGCACCGGAAAAGAATAAATCAGTGGAAACGGAATGAAAACTTACGATGCGTCAAAGCGGAAAAGACATGTTTTTCCAACCGTGAAAACACTCACCCATCATCGTCGTCCTTTGGATGTAAATTTGTTATCACAACAAGATGTTTATCTTTGGTGGGAAACGAGAAGACGACATCGCCGGGCCTCTAGAGATTTTGCGGAATCGTGGCAAATTGGCTTCATCTGCCGGCTCCTGCTACAGTTATACGAGACACAGTGCTTGCGTGCAAGAATGTTGTTGGTACATATAACAAATGGTGAAAGTTGTCGGGAAGTTTTGCTTCGTGTACGGCAGAGCTTTTCAGTTTGGATTACGGAGGTGCTCGTCGGTAATTTGGAAGCGTTGAGCAAATTTCTTCTCAACTTGGTCCAAAAACTGTACGGTAAACGGTAGGTACACGAATGGAGGGAAGGTATAAGTAGCCTTCGGTAATTTGGGTGGCTTTTGTCAGAACGAACAAAACGAACTGTAATTTAATTTGATGGAGACAAATGGAAACATCTTCACCGCGGGAGTTGTTGTTTTTCGGTTCATTAGAAGTGTGCTCTAGCTCTAATGTAAGCAATCAATTTGCACTGAATTATGCAACTTCTGTTTAGATGTTAATCAAACGTCAGACGAAGTTTATGCAGATGTCAGACGAAGCGGATTTGATTTGAATCTTTTTTTATGAAACCTTGCATGCGCAGACCATGCTGGAAGTGGTGGGTTTGATTCCCTTCTAGGCTTTTGAGCTTCTAAAACGAGCGTTTTGCCAGTTCTTCACTTAGTGTTAAGGATGCACTTCCACAGTAATTGAGAGCTTTCTATGTCAACCAAAGTATGAATTTGTATATTGTGTGGCAAGTTTAATGGTACTCTATGCCGAGGGAAGTCGAGAAAATGGCCAACCCGATAGATTTCCTGGACTGGACCGGGAATTGAACCGGGTCCGGCCGAATACATTTTGTTGACTTCCCGGGACATAGAGTAGGGGAAAAGTTGGCTTCGGCAATAAAGGGTGATACGGTCAAAATTTGGTCAAGGGAAAACGCGTGTAAATCGGTGAAATCGTTTATTTAAAAAATCAAATTAAATTTCTTTTTCAAGTTCAATTAGTATAAAATTCAGGAAAAATATTCAGTTAGGCTTCCGCTTTTCCAAATCCGAATTGCCGGGCCTTACGCTTGACCCCTGCCATCAGATTTTGTACAGCCACCTTGTCCACCTTCTTCGCCGCAGAAAGCCAGTTTGCCTTGAACTGCTGCTCGCCCTTAGCAGTTTTTTGGTCTTCTTTAGGTTCCGCTTGACAATAGCCCAGTATTTCTCAATTGGGCGGAGCTCTGGCGTGTTGGGAGGGTTCTTGTCCTTGGGAACCACCTGCACTTTGTTGGCGGCGTACCACTCCATGGCCTTTTTACCGTAATGGCAAGATGCCAAATCCGGCCAAAACAGTACGGAACAACCGTGTTTCTTCAGGAAAGGCAGCAGACGTTTATTCAAACACTCTTTCACGTAAATTTCTTGGTTGACAGTCCCGGAAGCTATGAAAATGCTGCTTTTCAAGCCACAGGTACAGATGGCTTGCCAAACCAGATATTTCTTTGCGAACTTTGACAGTTTCATGTGCTTGAAAACATCTGCTACCTTTCCCCTTCCTTTTGCCGTATAAAACTCCTGTCCCGGAAGCTGCTTGTAGTCGGCTTTGACGTAGGTTTCGTCGTCCATTACCACGCAGTCAAACTTCGTCAGCATCGTCGTGTACAGCCTCCGGGATCGCGCTTTGGCCGTCGTATTTTGTTTATCATCGCGATTTGGAGTCACTACCTTCTTGTAAGTCGATAGTCCGGCTCGTTTTTTGGCTCGATGCACGGTTGTAGACGATACACCCAGCTTATTTGCGGCATCTCGGAGAGAGAGGTTAGGGTTTCGCTTGAAACTACCGGCAACTCTCTTTGTCGTCTCAGCGGCTTCCGGTTTTCGATTTCCCCCCGATCCAGACTTCCTGGCTGTTGACAAACGTTCCCCAAACACTTTAATTACATTTGTAACGGTTGATTTGGCAACTTTTAGCGATTTTGCCAACTTTGCGTGCGAGTAGCTCGGATTTTCGCGATGCGCGAGCAAAATTTTGATACGCTGCTCTTCTTGCTTGGACGGCATTTTGACAACTGAAGAGTGAATTCCAAAATCAAAATAGGAGTAACATTCTACACACACACACCTTCAAAATGAGGGGTGTTCAGGTTTTTTAAATGCAAAATTGAAAGAAATACGTCAAGTTGATATTGACCAAATTTTGACCGTATCACCCTTTACCTTAACCAATTATCGTCAGGGGGTAAACAACGTCCTTGAGAGCTCAATTTTGGCATGTGGATACATTGTGTTTCATAGCAACTATTGGTCAAATTTGAGTGCTCTAGAACTTTGTTTACCCCCTGACGATAATATAAGGTATTGCCGAAGCCAACTTTTCCCCTACCATAATGTGAATACGGAAATAGTGCAACCTGAGCAAGCTCCTAACCAATAACTATGGAAATGTGGAAGAAAATTGAGAACAAACGCAGAGCTTCAGTTGGGACATATTAGCCACTATTTTACTCAGTAGATGCATTCTAAGCCAAGTTCAAAAAATCTCTGCCTCCAGATATGCAAATACCTTAATTAACGCTGTAAAAGAAAAACCATTACGAATTCAACTACCGTTACTGCCACAGCAAATAGAAATTTCCATATTCTCGCCGGTTGATTTGCCAAGTCTAATTTTCAAGTCTTAAGCACATTTTCTCGGACTCGTCGTCATTGAGCTGTCGAACTGTGGAACAAGACAGGAGCTTTCACTAAATATTATCCCACTCCCCGCTGCACAGCCGCCTATTCTCATTACCCACGTTTTCCTTCCTTCCTGCTTTTTTTTCAAACCTGATTCCATGTTTTTTTTTTAACCTGCAGCATTCTGTATGCTGATATCGTCGGATTTACCGCCATCTCGTCCACCTACTCGGCTCAGGATCTGGTGAAAATTTTAAATGAACTTTTCGCACGTTTCGATCGTCTAGCAGAGGTGAGTAGAAGGTGATTCTTTTTCCTCGGCAGTTTTTTTTCCTTTGCAGATGTTACACAGAGTGTCAAGCATGAACGATTTCCTCGACGGTGGACGATTCGATGATGCGAAGATGAAGGTTGTGGTAAATAAACGGATGAGTTGTGAACAGGAGAATGAAGTGTGGACACATTTTAGCTATCAAATTCATTGTAATTTATAGACACTGTTCTCAGAACTGTGAGTTCTTACATTTGAAGACCAGCTTTCCTAGCAATCAATTTAATGTTTATCAATTAAATTTAATTGAAACTGCAGAAAAAAAAATTACTTTTAAAAATGGTATCACTCTTTTGAAAGATCAAAGTTTTGACGTCCAATAAATGTTTCCTTCCAAGTCACTTCATGGGCATCTTGTTTCTTTACTTCATTCCCATCACGTAATCGCTAGTAGGTACTACCTACTTTCTCTATTTAGCAAAAAAAAAGATGAAACAAATTGAGTTGCCGCCGCCTCTCCTTAGCCGCCATAGTCGTCAATCGTCCGTTGGTGGTCTTCATATCTTCACAGCATCCCGTCAACTTTTATTGGACTTCCAAAACAAGTTTTATTACTTTAATTTCTCTCTCTTCTTTTTCTCTATCTCTCTCTCAATATCACAGAAATACCAACAATTAAGGATAAAGATCCTGGGCGATTGCTACTACTGCATCAGTGGCGCCCCCGTAGAACGGCCGGACCACGCCGTTCTCTGTGTCCACATGGGTCTGTCGATGGTGAAGGCTATCAAGTGAGTGTAATTGGATTAGAAGCACAAGCTCGGTACCAATTGGTACTAATTAGTGGCGAAAAGCACCATGGTGACCATCTTTTTCCTCCGATTTTTCGCAGATATGTCCAGCAGAATACAAATTCTCCCGTTGACATGAGAGTGGGAATCCACACGGGAGCCATCCTGGCGGGAATCCTTGGCCAGCGTCAGTGGCAGTTTGATGTGTACTCCAAGGATGTTGAACTGGCCAACAAGATGGAATCCAGCGGAAAACCGGGGTAGGTGTGGGGGTCTTTAGAATAGGAATAGTTAGTTTGGATTTCGTAGCGATGTTCAATTGATTGTATTTTGGTCGACGTTTAGGATGCTGATCAGTTCCAGGCAAAACAGTGAAAAAGTTAACAAATTTTAGATTTTACCGCTCAGAATTCCATGAAACATCGTATGATTGTTTGCTTCGAGCCTAGAGTTGAACCTAGTTTGTTCTAGAATTCGGCTATTTTGACTCACGCCTATTTTTTTATTAAATGCGATTCAATAATTTTTAATAAATCATCGCACAAATGCGGCTCATCTAAGACAATCTGAGACAATATTGTAGGAAATTGGATTTCCATTTCAGAAAAAAAATATACATAGAAAAAAGTATAAAATTTTCGTCAGAAAAAAATGCTAACTTTTCTGAATTGGACACCATGAGCAATTCAAAATTGACCAGAATCGTAGAACATAAACTATTAGTAAAAAATTTCAACTTTTTTTCACGCAATATTTTAACGCTTTACTCATTTCATTTATACAGCCTCAAGCTGTATTCAAATGTTATACGATATGAGGAAACCTTTACTCAACCTCTATACAAGCAAATCTGGCGAACTTTATCAGCTACTTCTGACTGTTTGTGACGGTTGGGACAAGTTCTTCTTGCATATCTATTTACGCTTCGGAATAGCCTGTATCCTGCTGTTTAGTTGTGTGTGAACTTGAAAGGCGGTTACTCAACCTTTACCTGATTATCCAATAATCACTACACAGCTTTCTCTTGACGCCAGGGTAAATATTGTTTACGCTTTTTTGTTGTTGTTGGAGGAATTTATCATGTTTATTTTACTGCGATTCAAATTAATCTAAATTAGTTATAAGCACACCACCAAATTATTTACGCTGTACCGCAACCTGGAATCGAACTTTAGACGGCCGCATTGGCGAACCTTGATGCTGCCAACTACGCCACGCCAACACTTTGAACTGACGTAAACACATGCCCTTCTACAACAAGATTGCTGAATAACGGGTGGCAACTAAAATTTTGGAATTTCTTTCTCAAGCTGTCAAAAAAAGACAAACATACTTGAAGAAGATCTGATTTATTGAAATTAAAGATACATTGTAAATTGATGAAAAAAAAATAGTGAACATTTGAAAACGGTCCGTAATCGGATGTTCGGCGAAGCTTCCGTTTGATATCGGAACAGGAGCGTTGTACGGCCTTCATGTCAACTTTGCGAATGCATCTCTTGATTCTACCAATCAACTGTTTGCAATTCGTGGCTCTTCAGTTATTTTTGTACACCAAGGAGCTCAAAACCCCGAAGAAATCTTCGATTGGGCGACACTGAGGCAGATTTGTCGGGTTGTGGTTTTTGGGTACAAATGGGATCGAATGGGTTTTCAGGAACGATTGTGTTTTTTTGGCGTAATGCGATGGCGCTTTATCCAGCCAAAACACGTATTGTCCATCAGCATGATGTTTTTGTAGAAACGGGATCAAAATTTTCTTCAAACATTCGTTCTGGTACACATATTGATTGAATGCCAAACCAGAGGGCTTGAACCATGGCTTAGAAATGCCTTTCTCGGAAATGGCAATGTACAGCATCACTTTCTGTTCAAACTTATGTTTAAACTTATATTTTATGTTCGGAGGTGCAGTAGGTGAATAGTATCGATCGTTTCCGGGAATCTGCGTCTTCGAAAGAGGGAAGTAACTTTCGTCGTCCAAAACAAAACTTTTTCCGGAATAATTTTAATCAACCAGCGGCATTGGGATTTCAGCGTTGAAATCTGTGCGTCAGTATATTCCGGGGCTCGTGTCTTCTTTCGGCACTTTATTCCGACTCTTTTCAATGTTTTGCTGATGTATTGGTGAGAACAGTTGAACTTTTTTGCGGCATTCCGTTGGCTCAGTGAATCCTTGTTGTTGAAGGCACGAGAAAGAGAACGAAGTCCTTTTGCGTCCATAATTTTGGCTGGTCTTCCACTACCTTGCTTGCGAGCAGTTGTTGGGGATCTTATGATATGGTAAACAGTCGAAGTCGCAACATTTTCGCTTTTAAAATGTTGTACCGTATACTTTTTGTCGAGATTTCTGTGCAGTTCGTAGAACTGTACAACGTGCTTGCAAAATACTTCTTGTTTCGACGGCATTTTGAGCAAAACTGAGCAAGCATAAACAAAACAGAAAATACTAGCAAAAAGAGGAAAGAGAGAGCTAACACATACACACTCTTATTTCTCTCTGAGCTCGTTTGTTGTTGAGCATAGAGGCGTCGAAAAAATTCCAAAATTTTAGTTGCCATCCGTTAGAAGCTTTATAATAGTGCACATAAATCTCTTTTCTCGACTAATTAATTCAGCTTTGTAAAAGAACAGAGTAAAAGCTGTAAAACTACACAAGTCTAAAAATAAACCTAGTTGACTGTGAAATAACTTTGAAAGTAGCGCTAACACAGTTTACTAGTTGAGTACAGGTTGATTAGTTGTTGAAAAAGCACTTTTGATGTTTATGTTATTCAGCAAGAGTGGTTGGTTGTGTAGAAGCCATCAAATGAGTAATATATTGGCTTTATAAGCTTTGTTTTGAAGCTAAAAGTTGAAAGTTGATTAATATTTGCATAGAAGTGACATTAGCGTTTATTGGGTGATGTTATTCAATGTGACTGACAAATTGAATAATGGTTGTGAAAAAGTTGAATAAAAACAATTTGCCTAGCTTCTGCTTGTAGCTGTGTCTGCAGCTTTGTTTCAGCTACTATACAGCGCAACGCTGGAAAAGTTGGCTTATAAAGCTGAAAATGTTAGTTGGGTGGCACGGAGTGTAAAACTCAATGCTCTTGGTGGTGTGTTTGTAGACAAAACGGCCCCCCGTGCAAAATGGTTCGATGTTTTTACCATGGCTGGTGATTACCATCCTAAACTTTGACCAAAATAAAATCATTTGAACTGTGACGGCTTTTATCGTCGTCACCATGAAGGAAAAGCTACAAAAAAGTTACGCTTATAATAGCTCCAGTTACGTGACATTCGTGTCGAAGCGATAAAAGAAGTGACGCTCATTATCACTCCCGATACATCTAGTGATGGAAAAGCGACTCCAAAACTAATGAAGATTTATGAGGATTTTAAGATTGTTTTTGAAAGAAAATTTGGGTTATGGAAGACGAAACGAATTTCATATGAACTGCTTTCGTTTCATTCATCGTAAATAATGTTAGTATTTGGTTTGCAATTATCAGCCTCATAGATCACAGATGCAAGGAGAAAACTTAGTGTTAGCCTAGAAAAATGTGACAACCGAAATATGAAGTAAAGGAAAATGTATTTTCAGTTCTCACAAAATAGACTGTTATGGAATAATCAATCCACGTATGCTGCAGTACACAAAAAAATATGAATTGTAAGTGTCGTGTAAAATCCCGTCTCTTTTACTTTTGAGCTATTTTTGACATAAACAATTAAACTGCTTACAAGTTTACATACAACATGACTAATTTAAGCGATGTTGCGCTTCAATTTTCATGAAATATCGTGTAAATTTACGCCAAATCTAGCGTTAATAACGTGTGCGCTATATATCGCTGAAATTTACATTTATAGACTTTTCCGTTAATTATAAATACACTTTGTTAGTGAATTAAATAAAACAACAAACTTATAAATGACTAACTTTACACGTGACGGAATCCATCTTTGAACATGTCATGAAACATTAAATGCTCAGAGACTGAAAAGTTTGTTACTCAACGCTGATGTTTAATTGTGCGTCAAATTGATGCTCGTATATGTCAGTCTCAGAACACCTAAATTTACACGATTTATTCTAAATGTGTTGTGTAAATTTTTAGGCCATTATGTTTTCAAATGTTGTTTATTATCATGTTTTCTTTCACACATAAATTCAATTTGCAGGATTTTATTGAGAGAGGCTGAGTTTTCTAACTTTTCCATTGGCACTGCTCATTAGTTTTTGCACAATACCTTCGCCTACCATTTTTACCACTTTAGAACAATCTTTCTTGAATTTTTCGCTGGTTTAACATTTCCTAAGCTTTTCCTTTGTCCCAGAAAGTGTCAATAGGGCGAGCCTCAGGGCAATTTGGCGGATTCATCTCTTTTGGCACATATGTGACTTTATGATTCTTGTACCACTCTAGCGAATCCTTTGAATAGTGACAGGAAGCAAGATCAAACCAAAAGATTACAGGTTTGTCATGCTGCCTGATGAAGGGTAGTAATATCCTGATGAATGTGGGCGTCTTAGTGGAATACCTGTATAATGAGAGAGAGAAGGATTAGTATTTTCCATTCAATTCCACTACTTTATTTGCTTATCCTTGACAGATACGCGTATTTCGTCTACAATGTGCAGACTTCTTCAGTGTCTTGTACTAATACTCGACAGTCGAGTATTAGTACAAGACACTGAAGAAGTCTGCACATTGTAGATGAAATACGCGTATCTGTCAAGGATAAGCAAATAAATTAGTGGAATTAAATGGAAAATACTAATCCTTCTCTCTCTCTCATTTTCAATTTTCCAAACTGGCATATCGCCTGCCAAACCATGACCTTTGCCCCGTAACGTGGGTAGATCACCTTTTTGTGGTACGTTACGGGATGTAAGATCTACCACCGATTCCTAGTCCCGACTACTACAAACTAGGGGAACAGGATTTTTCAGTAAGCAAAGGAACACATCTTATAGTCCTTGTTACATTGTATGCCTTATTGATAGTGCTAAGACTCAGCTTTGTCCACCGAGGATGATCTTGAAACAAGGAAAAAATGAGTTAGTTAGTCTTCATCTATGTGATTCCTAATCTTCTATTCGTTGTTCTCTAGTTTGAAGTGGTTAAGACTAGGGTTCTGATGCATGGTCATTATCGGTGTGATTCCTTGTTCCTTGTTGTTGCTAAGGAATCCAATTTTAACCGACAAAGGGGCGCGCAGGGTATTTCAACACTCCGAAGGATATAAATAGCGGGACCTTTCAATTAGA